TCCTTTGGGCAAGCCTTCCTGACTGGTCCTGCTACCAGGCTTAACCCCACCTCCCAGGTCCAACTAACCCTCTCCCACTCCGTTCCTAACTTCAGGGACGAGGCCCCACCTCCTACACCCAGGTTTGTCCCATGGCTAGACCCATAACTTCAGAGCCCATCCCTGTCCTCCCCCCACCCCCGCCCCGTTTCTAGCAAGCTTTCACGGCAGAGTGCCACAGAGATCCCGCTGCCCATGCTGCCTCTGGCTGACACTGAGAAGTTGATTCGCGAGAAAGACGAAGAGGTGAGCAAGCACATCTCTTTCCCTCTAAGCAGCTCCTTAGATCCCATTCCGGCCTTGCCGGGTCCCACTGCTTGCAATCTTGCTCCGCACAGCTGCGCCGCATGCAAGAAATGCTGGAGAAGATGCAAGCTCAGATGCAGCAGAACCAGGCTCAGGGCGAGCAGTCAGATTCTCTGTGAGATCCTCACGGCCGCCTAACCTAGCATCTGCTCTCCGCCAATCTCCGGTCCCATCCCGGCTTTAGACTGCCCAGCGCCCAATCCGGAGACTCAGAGGGTCTGGAAACAAGTTCCTCCAATCCGGAAGTTTGTTGCTTCGCCCCACTCCCCCTTCCTTGCTGTTCTGAAAGGACCGCTCTCCGGCTCCCGATGGCGGGTTCCCCTAAGGATACCCTGTTTCTCTAAATACTCCATCTAATAAAAACTGCTTCCCCCACATCACCCCGAGCCTCCCGAGTCTTCTTCCCAGCAGGAATGGAGCTGCCCGCTGCGGGCCTCCTGGCCACTAGTCATTCCATTGTTAGCCACTCCTGTCTTGCTGGGCGGTGCTTCAGCCTCCCGCCTGAGTTCGCGCATAAACATACTGAAGTTGCCACCAATAAGAAACAAAGACCAGTTGAGTTTTATTGAGGGTCGGGTGAGAGTTGGAGAGACTAGATGCCTATCTAGGTCTTCTGAGGCCTTGGGTCCCCTATTCCTGGTCCTTAGCGTCACCGTGTGTGATGACATAGCAGATGTTCTTGTAGTCTACGTTACCGCCCACATCTGGAGGGAAGGCTGCCCACATGTTCTTGATCTGTGGGAAGATAAAGGAGTAGCTCTAGGACCGACCGGTCCTGGGACTCCCACTGCCCGAGTCCTTTCCCTTCCCCAGACCCTCCCCAACTCACCTCCTCCTGGGAAAATCTGTCACACTGTGTAGTAAGCAGCTCCTCCAGGCTGAGAAGGTGACATTTGGGGAGGTGAGATTGGGTTCATGAGTCCTGTCCTCTCTCATTTCATTCCTGTTGCCACCAACCCCCCATTCTACCCTGAAACCCAGGGTGGCTCTTTTTAGTCTGGCTCAATTCCCAAATGCTGTGGCCTCCCGTCTCAAGTTTCTCCCCCTACTTGCTGTGAAAATGTAACCCTGTCGCTGAGTCCTTATTGCTCACTCATTCTGCCAACCTCAAACCCTTACACGGGAACTTAAGGAGCCTCTAGTGGAACTACTGGAGGGGACACTCACAACTGCTTCTTGATGGTGCCCTTCCCCTCTGGGTCCAGGACCTTGAAGGCTCCAGTGATCACGTCCTCAGGGTCTGCACCTGTAGGGTCAGAGGACACATGAATCTAGCAAGCCCCTGAAGGTCTAGGAAGAGGCAGCTAGGGTCTTGGACAGAGAACCTTTTACTCACCCTTAAGCTTTTCTCCAAACATGGTCAGGAAGACAGTGAAGTTGATGGGCCCACTGGCTTCCTTCATCATTGCATCGAGTTCCTCGTTCTTCACATTGAGGCGGCCTGAACAAGGTGAGCAGCAGGGGTTGGAGTTGGGTGCTGGGGACCAGAGTTGTGCTCCCCATAAACACATATCAACTCATTCACTTTTCATGTGGGCAGATTGAAGCCGGAAGCCGCTGGATCCCCCCCAGCTTCCGCAGCTTTCACTGTTTATGGATGGGAATATGGGGCTCACCCATGGCAGCAAAGGTATCCCGGAGATCCTCCTTGTCAATAATGCCATCCCGGTTCTGGTCAATTACAGTAAAAGCCTGTGGGGGAAGGGTGGGGGCAGGTGAAGCCAGGAATGGGCCTACAGCTTTAGCTTTACTGCCCCAGGCAGATCAGATTCTGGTTCTCACCAGCTGACCCCTCCACCCTTCACAAGGAGGGGAGGAATTCTAAACCCTCCTCCTCCCCTCAACAGGTGCACTTTCAGGGGGAGGGGGGCTTTCCTTGGCTTCCCTCACTCACCTCCTTGAACTCCTGGATCTGAGTCTGGTCAAACATGGAGAAGACATTGGAGCTCCCTTCTGCTGCTGCCCTTCTCTTGGCCTTCTTGGGTGCCTGTGAGGGTAAAGGTTGAGAAGGAGCATCCACAGGCTGTCCTGTACCTCCCTCCCCAGAGGAGACCCAGGAGACTTTTGTTGTTAAAAACAAGGTCTCATGTAGCCCCCAGACTTGCTACTCAGT